CTCAAATTAATTTTGAACCCTGGACAAAAAAAAGCCCCCCCCCACCCCTGGTATTAAGGTTTAAACAATAGATGAAAATTAATTTATATATTTTGAAAATGTCATTGAGTATGGTAAAATGTAATAATATATTATGTAAACATTTTAAGACACTAAAACTATTTTTTGAATTACAACAGAATAACCAAAATTCGCATTCCTTAAATCGATTTTCTTATAGTTTAAATATTAAAATTCGTCAAAATATAAATGTAAATTATGTCTATTCTATCTTTTGTTTTTTGTAGTGTTTTAGGGGCAGTAAGAATTACTTACTCTTATCCTATACAGAACTTTGTGAATTCAAACATTTAGTTATAGCAAATTAGAGAGTAAACAGCTAGATATGTGTTTGAACTTCAAACATTTTAATAGTTATACACCCTGATGGCTTCTACAACCCAGAAGAAAAAACGACACCCTGGGACGGCCTGGGTTCTAGATTGTTTGATGATCATCAGCTGTACATCATATTCATCTCGCTCGCATGATTATAAAGTAGTTTTTCTTACTTCCTATAGTGCGAGAGTATGTAGGTACCGATAGTAGTTTGTGCAATACAAGTGCAAGGTAATTCATGGATAATGGTTTATATTATGATACGGTTTCGATTTCTATATAAATAGAAATAGGATATTTGAAAAACTTTGTGTTGTTGTCGGCCAATGTCGAATCAAGATGAAATAACTCTTGATCATAAGCGGAAATTTGGTGAAGTTATAGTGGGAACTATATAGATATAGCCACTACTGTATACTAGAGCCCCTCGAAATTATAATTTTTTTAGACATAATTGTAAAATATATATAGCCTAAACTAACCTAGGCTGCCTAACTTTAGTAGTTATTATTAATATTTCATTAATTATGATTGTTCCAAGTTATGTTAATAAGCTTGTAAGATAGTACGAGTTTAATTTTTAGCACAAAATATTTTTTGTATTGCCTTTTAATTTAACAGTGTTATTGAAAATGAATTTTACAATTATTGTATATTTAGTCACTTTATAATTTTTGGGACTAAGCAGGCCTAGGACCTGTACATCAAACTTCTGAGTCTCCTCGAGCTCCTCAGATGTCCACCTATGATCATGATATGTGACTCGACAAGTGATGATGGGTAAAGTAATTGACATAACTCAAGTCTCAAGTATACTTTTTCTTATGTTTTGATCATTTACGGGGAGGCCAATATAGAACGGTCTCAGTGAGGCAAATTTACATATGAAATATAAAAACGTGGTTATAGGTATCGTAATTACTAATTATATATACTTACATTTATTTTAACGTGGTCGTTATTTGGTCTTCGAGAATGATTATATCACGTAATATTATTTTCAAGGTTTAAGCCTCGTGAATATTAAGGTTTAGAATTCTAAAATATCGTTTTAAAATAGTTGTTGCTGGCAATGTAAATTGTATAAGTGGGGAATTGTAGTAATGATATTTTTTTGTACATAAGTTTAATTTCAGAATACTAATTGTGGTTATACAATAAGGAAGATAATCTAATCGTCATGTGTGACTTATATCAACATAACAAAATCCAATGTTGTTATAAAACATTTTATTTTTGATGTACGTAGAATATTATAAAACACATAATATGTTTCTATTCTACAAAAAAGTTTATAATCCACAATAATTTTGTATGAGTGTCTGAAGTTAGTATTTTTACAAAATTTGTGAAAATCACGAAGATTTTTTCAAATTATTTTGAATTAGAAATTTATAAAAAATTTCCTTTTTATATTTGATTTGAAAATTGAATAAAAGATTGTTCATAAGTTCATCTAATTTTTTTTATCTTTGTCTACCGGAAAGTCGTATAAAATATTTATGAGCGTTTGAAGCTTATATTTTTACAACATTGGATGATATTCACTCGATTTCTCATGGAACGATTTTCTTAATTTATTGAAATTCAACGACGAATAACAGTAGATACTTGAAATTTACACCGAATGTGATCATTTTATCATTTTCTATAATTGATAAAATTGTACAAGGCTCCTCCCACAATGATTCTATAACAGTTTAAAATATTAAAAATACATAGGCAAGATTTTATTAATAAGCATTTAAAGTTAAAATATTGCCAACATTTATCAAATTGAATATTTACAAATTATTTTGCATAAAAAATTTAATTTTTATAGATAAGGATTGAAAATCTAATAAAAGGTTTCAAATAAGTAGTGCATTCTGTTCTCAAAAAATCTAAAAAATACATTAACACAATTTTTTTTATAGTTATTTTAAGTTCAAAATTTGACGAAATTACATATTTATGCCAAGAATAATAATTTTAGTTATATTTATGTAATTTAAAAATAATATTCGAGTACTTGAAACTTTTAGAGCAGCCGAGTAAGTATTTTATTATAATTTATACACACAATGACATTATAAAGTGCAATTTTTTAGACAAAAATGAATTTTACCTACTGTAATACTCATGTCTAAATGTCTAATTGTAAAATAAACTATTGTATTCACAAAAATATCATTAACTATGGGTAGGTACCTAATTCTTAATATTATAGACTGACAGGATGTCTTCGCTCAGAATCGTTTATCCTGGTAAACCAGTACAATGATTTTATATCATTGATTTCAAATTATTTAACAAATCGACCGTGAAAATTATACCAATATAAATAAATTTATAGTATCAACTATACTGACTACAATGTAGTGTCATACTGTCATATAGTCAAAAAGTCGATAAGTATAACTATAGTCTATAGATAATTAAGGAATATCGATGTATTAATGGTAATATAATTTAATCAAAACTTTATACTTAGAGAATTGACTAAACTTTTCAATTGTATGATAACAATTATTATAAACCACTTATATTGAAACTCCATATATCTAATTACCTACTAGATACGAGCTAAGATCAATTGGACATTGGTATCTACAGACTACAATATACGTATCAGATCTTATTATATAGTAGGTACTAAAGTAGTATAGTAGGTACCTATATAATAAATTATATAATTCTATTATAATGTTATTGAATTATGCTGAAATAAATAATAAATAATGCATACAACTAAATACTTCAATATTATGATAATAGCATGTCGTATTACATTGAGAGAGGAACTGCAACAATTATATAGAAAATAAACTTGATATTTATCAACTTAACCTAATATTCTACATAGCATTTTATTCATAATAAATACCAACATTACCAATAGTAAATGGTAAGTATATAAATAGTACGTAAATAATGATTTAAACACTTTGAAAAAGAACAACATTTTAAAAACCCATGTAAGTCACTCTGCTGTAACTATATATATTTTGTAATTACATATTGTCATTGAGTGTACCTCGTAATTTAGTTTTAGGTCACTGTATAAATATTTTTTATAACATATTAACATTAATATTAGTATAATGGTTAGTAGTATTTATTATTAAACAGTTATAATATTGTTTATTATATTATATATTAATGAAATTAGTATCCAATTAGTTCAAAATATTACCTCTAAATGTAAATAAAAATATTGTCCCTACAATATAAGTATTTTTGATATTTTTAAGTTATTGTAAAAACGACTTATGACGAACCATAACAAAAAAACAATAACTATTCATTTTTAGGTTTTTTGACTGCTATAAAAATAAATTTTCATTAACATTTTTTTGTTAGGTATCAGTTTATATGAAGTAATAATTGAATATGGGTAAATAAATCAAAAAGAGCAAAACTATTTTGAAAACTATACTGTATAGATATTATATTTTTAGTTTAACGGTAAGTCTCTACAGTTATTCATTTTTGAAAAAAATAATATCGATTTTATCAAAAACTAATGTTGTTTAAATATTCATGACATTTTATTATTGTAAATAGTGCTGGGAAGTTAGTTCTTTTGACTCACTGTTACTTCAATAAGTAACATCAGAAACAAAAAGCACACATAATTTAAAAACCAATACATTAATCACTTAAGTTTATAAAATCTACAATGAACGATACTAAATCATTTTAATAATCAAACTAAATTTATAATGAAAATTAAAAAGTTAAAAATGTACGCTTAGGGGAAATTGTTCGTATCAATATTGTATTACCTATCAAAAATAAAATAAAATGAGATATGCCAACTATAATCATTGGACACTATAATATATTTATTATCAAATATTAATTTGTATATGCCACTGGATTAAATATATTTAGTAGCTATATATTTTTGACGGTACGGTATTACCTCCAACAATATACTAGAATATAATATGTTTAATGATTATACTAATATATTTTCCTGTGAATAAAGAATATCTGAATATGCCTATAATATAAAAATATAAATCGAAATGCGATTCATTAAACTTTTGCCTTTGGTATAAATCAATAATATGCACATAATGCCTCTGCTAAATAAATTATGAAAATAATATTGCTATAATTTAAAACCAAAGAATATTAATTTATATTACGTAATGATATAACAGTGTAACAAATGACTATTTCGTATAATAAATTGATATGAAAGTACATGGGATTGATACTGTCATATTAAATTGATAAATAAAATTTATTTCACCTAAAAATATTAAATTTAGAAGCTAGGTGAATTAAAATTTGTATTTAAAATGTTGGAAAATGTAAGAATAATATTATGTGATAACATTGCCCACCAGTATAACACACATTATATAGGTGTCCATGGGTGTGTCTTCAACTAGTTCCGGGGAGGTCAACATGAACAGCCGGGCGAGTATAAAAGGAATCCGAACAGAGGGCTGCGGCATCACATTTTCGGCGGTTTCAGTTTTAGAAGTAACTTTGGAATTAAGTATTTCCTTGGTTTTTTCAAAACTTATAAATAATCCAAAATATAATAAGCACTTTAACGATCCGATATCGATTTCGTTTGGAATTTTTATTTTCTATAATACATTCTAAATATTTCCAATTTAAAAATGGCAAAATCGTTGCTGATCGTCTCTGCTTTATTTTTGGCCGTCGTTGCATCTGTAACAGCTGCACCCACACCGAAAAAGCGTAAGTAATTTATTATTATTAATATTGTAGTGTATATACACTACAATATTTGTAAGATTTCATCGGATTAGTAATATTTTTTATAAAATTTATAAAATTATTATATAATATTTATAAATTATGATTTTTTTGATTGAGTATTTATTAAGTTATTTCATATTTTTCATATTTTTTTAATAATAATTTTTTAAAAATTAAATCAACATTAAATTTAAAGTAACGCGAAATAAACTCTTAATTTACTAATTTCAAAAATTAAAACTTTAGTTAAGTTGCCTATACAATTTGCATGGCTGATTTATTTAAAACTTCTTTCCAAAATTTATATTTTATATACTATGAGAACAAAAAACCGAGCATAATACAATTGTAATGTTATAATTTCTTTCAGTTTCATATACTTATATTTAAAATTGTTTAGATAAAACGAATTGTTTCGTAGGTGATTAAAAAAAAATATATATAATTTATTGCAAAAATGTTATTTTCAATGCATACTTTTATTTTGGATAATTTTTATTTGATACCAAAATATACATGCATGACGTTTAAATATATTATTTTGAACTCGACGAATAATTTCAACGTCAATCAAATCAATAACTTCGACTTACTACGATGGTTCACTGTTATATAATTGTATTATTAAACTTTTGTTTTTCTAATATTCTTATAATTATTTCTTTACAGAAATAGCTTTCAATCTATGCAAGAAAAGTGATCCAAACCTTGACAGATGTTTGAGGAGCTCCATCCAATCAGTCATTCCAGATTTGGCCGAAGGATACCCTAAACTGAGGATTCCGGCCCTCGAACCGTTCGAGTTGCCGTCATTGGAAATCGAACACGGAAAGGGCTCTAGCAAAGCTGTCAGTATTGACTTGAAGTTAAAGGACGTCAAAATCATGGGTTTCACCAGCGCAGTGGTCGATGCCTTGAAAGTCGACGTGGACAACTTCAAGACGAGCGGCAAGATTAGCTTCACAAAGCCACTCGAGATCACTGGACAATACACGGTCAACGGCAAGGTGCTCGTTTTGCCGATCACCGGAAACGGACCGTGTTCCATTGTCTTACGTAAGTTTTTAACTTATTATTATAATATTTTCCATATTATGATATGATGATTTTTTTCACATATTCGTATACCTATAATATATTATGTCCCTTTTTTCTTAACGACATCAATGTTTTCCGTAGATGAACCCGTTTTGGAATTGGAAGAAATGTCCGGTACTCCATTCGAGAAGAACGGTAAGACCTTCGTTCAAATCAAGAAAGTCAACGTGAAGGTGGCGAGCGTCAAAAAACTGAATGTCAAGTTGGAAAACCTTTTCAATGGAAACAAACAATTAGGTATGTTCTCCACACTAATTGAAGAGTATTATTCTACTCAATAAGTATATTGTACAAAATATGGTTGACGAGAACCATAATACTTTTTTATTTTCCATACTAAATCCGTTGTTTTTGTTTTGACAATAGGCGATAGCATGAACTCCATCCTGAACCAAAACTGGGAAGTTCTTCTTGAAGAATTGAAACCAGCATTTGAAGAAGCGATTGGAGCTATCTCGCAAGATATCGTTAACAAAGTTTTTCAGAAGACCGCGTACTCAGATATATTCCTTTTGTAATCGGCTTGGTCTGATCTTTACGGTTGATGTTTCCTAACAAAAAATGTTGTTTTTTAAGTTTAATATCTGTTTCCGTCAGGAAGCGCTTGAGTAGCTCTACAAAAATGTCTAAAGTGATCGACGCTAAAGAGATGCTCACATAAAGCGCACACTTTATGGATACCTGTTGTTATTTTTTATAAAACGACGACCACATAGGTGCACGTCTCAGTAACTAATTGATGACGCACTATTATTTATTTGAAAAACCTAGAGTTTTTATTAAATTATTGAATATTATTTATATGAAACAAAATGAATAAAATTATTATTCAAATATATACATTGAGTTGAATTTATTTCCTGCAAAATAATATCCGACTAAAGACATTTACCACTATACCTGTATTGAGTATATATAGGGAGTAAACAGAAGTAAACGCTCAACGTGAAGGTCATTGGTCATGACTGTATAATCTTCTGATTGCGTATTCTTATTAAAATACTTAATACCGTACGGCGTATATCAACAATATAATATTTAGTGATTAGGGGAAGGTGAAATTGTATTTTTTTAATAAAACTGTTATTTATACCTCATAGTTAGGTAGGTATATATAGGTATACACTATACTGTATATGTGTACCTATACGTTTTATATAAACCTAGCATTTGGCTTTAACCCATAACCTTAAATTTTGACCCGATCACAACATAAAAGCGTACATAAATGTAACTAAAATTAAAATGTATTTTATTTTATTATAATCATAGTTATTAATAATTGAGCTTTTACAGTAATACCTATATTATAATAAGTTTCTTATTACTAAACTTGAAATTTGATACCCTGTTTGAAGTACCTATGTAGTCCAAACTGGGCTTTTTTCCTGTGTATCTACAATGTAGGCTAGATTCTACATGTTCTATAATCTATATAATAATAATAAATGAATGTGCGTGGATTGTTAAATTGGCAATTCAAGTAACAGTGATATGAGTTTGGACCATTTAGTTGTTCTTAGCTCGTGCAAAGGTAGCTCAGCCATAGCTCTACGCACTACGCCATATCCAATACAATTTTCCAAAATACCTATAATAAGTTAACTCTTATATTTTTTGGTTGTCAGGAGCATTCGTACATAGTTGCTTAAATGTAGTTTTATCATTGATCATTATCCATGAAGATTACAAGTTTTTCAGAGACGTTTCATCACGACGCTGTAGGCTAATAGTTATTGCAATAATATAGTGATTAAGAAAATCGCTACATGAGAAATCGAGTGAATATCCAATGTTGTAAAAAATTGAACTTCAAACGTTCTTCAAAATTTAATTTGACCTTCTTTTATTTTATTAGAAGGTTCCCAACAAGTTTTTCTACCTCTATCAAAAAGAAAAAGTTCACCGAAAAGTCAGGCTCTATATAGCCATGAGATATTTTCGATTTGTATTTATTTTTAATAATTAAATTTGATTATTTATATAAGTTTTAGGCTGACTCAACGTCTCCTCTCAGAATCGTTTTTCGTATCCAATGGTTTATCATTGAATTAAAATATAACATGCTTGACAACTACTGATCCGCAGAAGAGTACAGCGGTACCCACTTGTCCACTTTTTCTTTTTTAAATATGAATTTATTTTTTATAAACACAGTACCTATAACCATTGTATTCACACGGTTGTCGGTTGAAAGTGTTTAATACCCTGCAAAATTAATTAAATCAATCATAATTATTATTATTTAAACATCATACCTATATTTTTATTGTTTCGCCAATATGTTGATCAGTTATAGCCTATAGGTAGTGACTATTGACTAATTTTTCGAGTATTTCAAATGTTTCATGTACCTACTATATAATATATTTTAGTATCTATAAATAAATTAAATCTAGATATACCAATTGATATTTGACATAAATTATACATAGGTAATAAATTAATATAGTTTAAAATGTATTATCCCAATATTAAAATGATTTTTTTATAAACATAGCCTAGCTGGTGGAGCCTATATAGGAGGTACACTTTTTATTTATAAGCCGCTTATCATGTAAAGTGCAAAAATACATTTCAAACCAAATATATATTAACATTCATATTGTAATTTTTATAACACAAGGTCTCTATTTAATAGTCTTGACACATTTTCATTGGTACAGAGTACCAATTTTATATTAAAATAAAATTGGTACAGAGTACCAATTTTATATTAAAATAAAAATTTTTACGATACATAGTATCTTTAATACAGTTAAACATAATTTTATTTAGGTAGTCATATTATAAGTACCTAATATATTTTATTCAGTTTATGAACCCATACAAAATGGTTTGGTTAATCATGATCTTATATTCTTACAGAACTCTGGTCGTTCTTGAATAATATTATTCAAGAATACCAGTAAAATTAGGCACAGTAAATAAATTATAGGCTATTCTAAATTATTTTTAATTTTTACTAGTTCAGTAAATATCTCAAAATCAAAACTATAAGTTTGCAATTACAAAAACCAATAAGTTTAAACATCGTAAAACTACAGTATTAAATTAATTAGTACAAAACAATAAAATTATGATTCGTGTGAATTCTTTATATTAAAATAAATATTAATGGTTAATCATTATATTTTATATATTCTACTTGACTGAACAATATATATTATACATAAATTATAATTAGTTACATAACGTTTTAAATGTTCAATAAATTACCTTTAACATTTTGTTTTTTAAACGAAGGTGAACATCTATGTTCATATTAAATTGTCTAACATAATAATAATATGTAAGTATGTAACAAGGGCGCTAAGGGAGTAAACAGGTTTATTTTAATTCCATGGGGAATACGGATATCATATACAAAATAAAAAAACACTGTTTATAATTTAACGAAAGCAAAATAATCGTTTTCTAGGCAATCAACTTTTTGGTGGATATAGCAGACGTATGCATACAAGATACAAATATTCAATTGGTTTAATACTGTTTTATTAATTTAATCATATCCTAGTAATAGTAAGCCACTAAGGTATTCTAAATAAAAGCCTATAATTATTGTTATTAAAAATAAAATTTAGAAATTAATTAGATTATTGTGTATTTGTATCTACAATAGTTAATAATATAGTGTGTCTTCAAAGTTCAAATAGACGAATTATCAGTGTTAAATGATAAAATATTTCTCTAACATTAAAAGTTATCATTTTAAAATTGATAATTAAATTAACTTACTATAATAGTTACAGCATTTGAGTTAATAACTAATACTAATTACTAATACAAATAGGCAGTGACGTAGTGTATATATATATAAATATAATAGATAATTTGATCGACTTATTGATCATTTAACCATTATAAATTATAATATTAATAACTATAAATGTGTAGGTATACCTTCGTAGTTCGTATAATTATTATAATTAAGGAGAGGATGCTTATGAATTTTACATATTTTACATATTTTTTCTTCAGGTCTTGTTCGATTCTTCAACGTCAAGTGAGGTTGCTGATAGCAAATTGGATCTATTTGGTACTTTGGGGAGATAACAATATTTGAAAATTCTTAATACTTTTAAAAATAATCCGGAGAAAAAATGGTGGGGAGGTGGTGAAATTGGTAACTACTCTGCTGCACAGTACCTGGGTGGCGAGTGTGCCTCGGAAAGTAATAGTCACTGTCTCTCACTGTAATGTATATAATGTATAATAATTATGTTAAATTAAAATTCAATAGTAACTTATTCCATACGAAAAACGATTTTGATTGATTAAGTACATTAATTCATGATATATTTTTAATTTATAATGGTAATTAATAATTATTATGTTAGTATATAGTATATTAATTTATTGTCTTTGTAGCTAATACACACGGTAGGTGTTTTACGGTATAAAGCTTAAGATAATAATATATTTATCTAAATATTCTGAAAATATCATGGCGTAATGCATATAGTAAAATATAATAATATATAATAATATGATAAAAGTTTTAATTCCCCACGAATATTATGTATTTTTGAATTACAACAAAATAATTTAAATCGTATTTCTTCGTTTAACTATCTAATTTCATCCAAATTTATATCTTGATATAATTTTGATTGTGGATTAACGCTAAACTTTTTTTGTAAATTCCACTTATAAGAATTTGTGAAGAACCTTAAATTAAATATTCAAGTTTTTTAACAAAGCAAAAAATATTTTATTGACATTTATAGAAACTAAATCCAATTTGGTATCAAAAATCACCTTTAAAGCTGAATATTGTAGCATTTTTTCTATTTTTAATCGTGTACTCTTACACAGTTACACAAAAAACAACACACGTATCATTGTGAAATATAAAAGCTAAAACTAATATAAATTTGTATTTTAAATTGTATAGAAGTTTATTTAACAAAATATAATAGCTCTACGGTTGGGTATATGGGTGGCTACTGCCTACTGTAATATTGTAATGTAAAGTACTATAATGATGATAGGTCACAAATACACGCAACAGTAGTTATGAGGACGTCACACCCGTGACCACTGACCAGCATGACATGTTGTCTCCGTCCTACAAATGTACAACATAGAAAAAAACTATTTTGCGTGGGACAACTTTACTAGTTTACTCCCTATCCGTATTTATAGTATAATTATTACCAAAATTCCACTACTCCTAGGAAAGGACTTTATCTGTGTAGTAGTGTTTTCATTTTTTTTTTATAGCACTAACCAATAACTTTTAATAATTAAATAAAAAATACCTACCTAATGTTCTAAAACTGTTAACTTTTAATGTATTTATGTTATCCAAATAATAAAAACAGTTCTCTCTTTGCGTTGTGGAATTTTGGTAATAAATTATAATACTATATATAAATACAAAAGGAATAAAATTGTCCTACGCATAACAGTCTTCGCCATGTTGTCCATTTGTACCTAAGCGGGAGGCAATACGGGTGTGAAGTCCTTTTAATAACTATGATAATAATAATCAAGACACAAAAGATATAAAAACAGTAAAAACATCATTGAATAACCAAATTATTTATGGATAATATCATTGATTATAAATACAAGCATTATTAATGATATTCGTAGATTAATTTTCTCATCAATCGCTTGCATTAAATTTATCTTAAGTTATCTAAGAATAGATTAAAATAACCTTAACTCGTCATAAAGGTCAAAATTCAATATTCCGCAGTTTTGGTGTGCAAAATAACGCAACAAACATAACGTCACGTACCTATTCATGTCATAACACATTGCCATAATATAGGACAATTTTATAAGTATAGGAAATATGAGTGCTATGTTTGAAAATGATTATCTACCTACTGGGCTACCTGCAACTGCCTGCCTAGGTAGGTACAAATCACAAAATCGTTTTAACAAGTTTTTAGTAAGAACAGTATTATGGTACTTACCTATATGGTAGGATTAGGATATTGCTTTAGAATATAGGTAATAATATCATTGATTATAAAGTACAGACTATTTTATTATAACCAGTCTTTTAAATATTATTTTTTATTTAATAATTAGTAGGTAGAGGTACCTTTCTATTTATAATCAATGGTATTATGTTACTTATCATTATTATACAATAATAATATAATATGTCGTGGAATATCATAAATAAACAAAACTATATAGGTAGTCAGGTAGATACATTAAGACGAGTGACCTCGCGACCTGTGGACGGGAAAGGGAAAAATACTAAAAACGTAATTTATATCCTTAACCTATATATATCATGAAATTATCACGTAAGAGTATAACTGTATAAGACCTTTAGACCTACCATCGTCCAGTCAGCTCATCTTCTCCACTTTTGATTGGTCGATTTTTCTCCTTATGTTATGTATGTATGTATGTTATGATGACCAATAATATTATGTGGATAACTACGATATACATAGGCTGATAGGCAAATAGTTGAAATGAAAAAATTGAGTGGTGCATGTATATTAAATAACTTGTGATCTATTTTGTCATGATATTTATCAAGAAATAAGTTCACGCAGTAATGTAACCATAGTCAATGTAAGCTATGTAATTGTGGTAATAGCATTGATTAAATATACATAGTATATATATATATATAGTATATTTAATCAATGGTAATAGGTAGCCAGTAGTTGAAACTCCGTCAGTAACTTCATTTGACACTGCGATTTTACTTTTTTTTACTAATTTTATAATAATTATATATCTATTATACATTTGTTACCAGATTTAATATTGATATGTAAAAAAAATGTTATCTTATAAAAAAAAATCAAAAATAATACTGACGGAACGTAACGAGTCGTTCACTCGTTCGACCAGTTGAAAGTTGTATAATAATTTATTTTATGTTCGTAGTTCATGCCTTCATGGTAACGACCGTCGTCCGTCGACCACTGTTAATGGCACGTTGCACAACAAATAATAATGATAACAGAAATATAACATCGAAGTATTATTTTATACTCATTACTCATGACAAAAATACAAAATACATTTTATTTTGTTTTGTATAGTTGTATTTGTATAAACCATGAACTACAAAATAAATTATACAAATATTATAGTACTTATAGCCTATAGGTACCTAATCTAAAATTAAAGCTACGTTAAGCTATAGTTTTATATTAGATAGTTAATACATTGTATCATAGATTTTATATGCCACGAACATAGATATATACCTATGGCCGCGAATCATGATGAATAATTAATATTGATAATATGTTTATGGCTTATCGATTCCGGAGTTCCGGACGCCTTGTTCACGAACCATAGATAATAAATCCTTATTATCTACGCAACGAACGCACGTAAAGACGTAAAGTTGGTGCGTTCGTTCGTTATCAATACTTTATCAACAACTCGTCAGAATGATTAAACATATGTTCATTGTTCAATGTTCAAGCTTTTCACTCTAGTCTGCTCACTGTGTTGTAACTCCGATAAGTCGGATTCCTCCTAGTTTTTTATTATTTTTTTATTGGTGTTGTGTGTAATTGCTAATAATTACTGTTTACCTTTGCAAAATGTGAAAAATTAAATATATTTCCAATCGAATTCTACAAGACTCAGTTTAGGGCTGAGATTTAACTGTACATTATAGGTACTGGATAACTGGAGCCCGTCAAATTGTTGTTCGATTAGAGTTTAACAATCCGATCGGATCTTGCTCATACATGTTGAAGTAATTGTACGACCGATTCCAATATTAGACATATCTTGTATTACAAAATTATTAATTTCCGTCAAAAATGAGTCGACAACCAGAAAATCATATCATGGTTAGTATATTATTACTATATTACATACATTTTGAATATTATCATTTTATACAAATATTTACTTATGTAACTTAACTTTATGTAAGTTATAAAATAAATAAATAGTATTTTCAATGGAAATATTTTATCAATAGTCAACTATAATTACCAAATGATTACCTTTTATTTATAAAGTATACGACTATGTATGCTATGTATGCAAATAACTTACTTTTATATCTGTATACCATTAATGTACCTACCTAGTTAATGTACCTAATTACACTACATCATCTAAACTTTATCAGTAGTAATAAAGAAGTTATAAAGAAAACCTACTTATAGAGTATAGTAAGCTTTTATCTTTGTAATGGCCATTGGGAACTTGAAAAAAAATTTATTTAAACTTTGTTTTGAAAAAAAACCAGACTACCTAAAACATTACTTGAAAATTGATAACTTCTATAAGTACAATTAGGTACCTATTTGATTAATGAAAATAGGTACCTATAATATTGTACTTAGTTTTAAATATCTATCCAGTTCAAGACTGCAACAACTCAAAATTTAACAAATTTGAGTTATGTACACCATCTTATAGACCATCTTATGACAATTTCAGTTCAAGAACGCAATAAAATATTGTTAAATTATTGACCACGAGAGAGCAATCTCAGTATTATAATTTACATTAAGTTACATCGAGAAAAAATATAGAAAACCCATTATACCCAACAAACCAATATTTTGAGTTATTGCAGTCTTGAACTGCATAGACAAATTTATTATATATGAAGTATTCTACATTTTCTTCATTATCTGCATTCGACATTTTTAATTTTTTCACTATTGCCTACTTAATATCTATTTTTTTAAATTTAAATTTTGAAGATACATATGCAATTTTGGTTTTATGTTTAGATAATACTTGAATTTTAAGAGTTATTTACTTTTGGGATTAAAGATTGATCATTAGGTAGGTGCATCATCAAAATAAACAAATTATATTTACAGAAAAATGTTTAATGAAAAATATATTAGAATTTAGAATTTATGAATGGTTATTTTGTTTTGATTAATATCAAAGTCCATGTGGAAAACTTTTTATTCTAAAAGTGGGTAAACAAATACTTAGTATCAAGGTTGTTTTGTATATTTATGCAAAAGTGGGCAAGTCAATAAAAATAATTAAGTTAAGTGAAGTTAAGAGAGCACAAAATTAATAAGTTAGAAGTTAACAGTTAACAAATCATAAATTTGACTCCATAAATTAAAAATTAGAAATGGAAAAAAATATTAACTTAACTCGGTTTAAAAAAAGTTTATCTACTTTTTTCAATCAATATGTGTATTACATAAACAGTATCTGTATTCTTTCTAATTTCCTAAACTATAATAAACAATTTTATTGAACTTAAATAGTAATGTAGAGTATATATACCTACCTATTTTACTTTACAAAGCAATAAAATATTTAAGCTATACACATCTCAATTAATAATATAACAAATATTTTTTTTTTATCAATTAGCAATTGTTTAAAGTCATATAATATTACGTCTAGGTATCTAATCTACTAAAATATTTCTATAAACAAAATTATTTTATCAAGAAAAAAAAAAGAAATGTTTGTTTTATTACAGTATTGGGCTGTTTTTATTTTTATTTATATATTAACATTTTCTTATAAAACCATAAAAACGAAAAACCATTTTAACTTTATAGATTATTTTTAAATGAACTGAAAAAATCTAAGTTATTTCAACTGTCGATCAAACTCGTTAAGTTCATAAGTTGATTAGAAATTTAAGTAACTAGCTAAATTAAAAATTAACATTTTAACTGGTTAACGCTTTGTATTTATGTTATTATGCAATTTATTATTAAATTATTTAAATACAAATTACAAATCATAACTATTGATTACATTATTATGTTGATGATTAAACATATTTTTAACCAAACAAAATGTATATATTGGAGTATGTTACCTCCTAATGCACCCATAGAACTCAGAATTATACTTTTGAGAATTTATTATCTGTATTAAATATTTAATATGATTTATATAGGATATTCCTCCTCCTGTATATACAAATGTGGTAAATAATACTCAAACAGGAGAATCAGAAAATGGAAATGTTAATACTACTCAGCAAAATCCAGTTCTTTCACCAACATCACCACAGGTATCTAATTAAATATTTAAATGATATTAAATGAGATGAATAAAGTAATAAATTATTATTATTTTTTAGCATTATGATGTTCAGCCTCCTAGATTAGATTTTTCTGCTCCTCCCCCATATGAAGACTGCAACCCAGATTTTGTAAAGCTACCAACTTATGAAGAAGTGCAAATGGAAAAGCGATTAGAAGGAGAAACATCTCCAAGATTACCTGTTAGTTACATTATTTATTTTGATTGAAAAATAGAATTATTAATATTTCCAAAATAACACAGTAAGCATTTTTCAGGGAAGAGTTATTGGAGGACCTCCTAGCATCGGACCTTTACCACAAGAAGTAATTATAAAACAGTTTAATTATCTATTGTTATTTATTGTTTTTCATCAGAAAATATCCATCTGGTTAGGTTAGGTATACATTTTTTAATGGTAAATATTAATCCAAGTAATATCCTAGTAATACTAGTATTAATAATCAATGTTATTATATTGTACCTCTAAAGTATATATTTAATTTAATTAATGCATACTTAGTGAATATTTTATTATCTTACACAATGCACATGATATGGATATTGTTGTTTAAATATTTACTTTTAAGTCTTGATTACCATTGGTAGCTTTTATCTTGTTGATATTTTGATGACAATAGAATGTTTTTATTTTTATACTGTCAACATTATTTTTCTGTCTGGACTACATAATTCCCGATAAATTTTAAAATGTCAGTATGAAAAAATTGTTAATATTTATTGTGCAAATAATAATATTAAATATATTCTATTGTCATTAAAAAAAAAAAAAAAAATGTTAGTTACATTTTTGTTTTAAACTAATTCTAAAATTATTAATAATAGCTATTAAATAAATAAATATAAAGCTATAATTATTTTTATATTACTATTTAGTACTATGTTTATTTATTGTTTATGTATAAATAAAATAAATTAAAAATAATTTATAAATAGTCCTAAACAAATTTTATATTATGTAGGTACCTAATATAATTTTGTTAAAGTAACTTATAAAACCATAATTTTAATGATGTATATTTATCAGTAACATTTACGCAAATGCCCACTAAGTTGTTCCTTATATTTAGGTTTTGATGCTAGTTAGATTGATGCTCATCAATTATGACTGCTGTCTAGTAATAAATTAAATAAATATGATATGTCACAAGCATTGCATTATTATTAGTTTATTTATTGATTTAAAGATTTTGTAAAAAGCCGACTGGTAGGTATTAATTCTAACTGGTGTTAATTCTAAAAAATAAATTAATTTCATACCATTTTTATTATTAGTTTGTAATGTTTCTATAATATAAATGAAGTTTTAAATATTAAAGCGAGTTATGAGGACTATATTTGTTTACCTATTTAAATTATTAAATTTAATAATAGGTGCCCTATATTATTCACTGTAGCATTTAATGAACAATATACAATGAATTCTTCTGAATGAAAATTTGCTTTGTTTTAGTTACTTTTTAAGACAACACACACAGTAGTAGCATCCCCCTAATTACTTTAAAACCTAATGAGTATATTTATTAATTCTTTTTTTACTTTTATTCATTTTTGAGCCTCATAACTTTAGTTTGAAAACTCACCAAAATAGATTGTTTATCAGACAATAACTGTCTAGAAAATTATATTATAAATTAAAGTTATGAAGATGCAAACTTCAAAACTAGGGTAGAATCACAATATTCAGGAATGCACATTCAAAATAGTTGTTTTGAAAGTTGATGTTAAAACATATTCTTTAAATAATTCAAATTAATTAATGAATTAATAATTAATTTGTAATAGTATTATTGAAAGCAAAATATAAGAATATAATATAATGTTAATAATTAATATATATATATTATGCCTTCATTTTCATCTAAATTTACTGACTGGGTTGGTGTCTGTTCAGTTCATCCCTATATTATAAAATATTTTATATTTAATTTATTTTTCAGATACCTGCACAAACATTGACTGTTCTCACAATTGACGCCGCACCTAATCCGTGTGAAATTGACACTAATTTATTAGGCACAGACTACATGTTTTTGACTGCTTTTTTGGGTACATAATTTTGTTTTTGATATAATATAATATACATATTTATTATTTATAAACTATATTCTAATTATTTTTATTTTATTTTTGTTTTTTTATAGTGGCTTTGCTATTTAATTGGGTGGGTTTTTTGGTGTTAATGTGTTTGTGCCAAACTGTAGCAGCTCGTTATGGAGCACTTGCTGGATTTGGATTATCATTAGCAAAGTGGACGATGATAGTTAAACGAAATACTGAGATGTCTGATTTATCACCAGAAAGTCGTTCAAATACGTGGCTTTGGTGGTTAGTTATGGCATTTGGATTTTTAATTTGTATTCGTGCTGTGATTCAATACATGAATATCAAACGTGGTTGGAGATTGCTTAGTGTCCCTGCACAAGAACGAGTGTTATATTTTTATTAAATTTTTGATCTGCTGGTAAAGTAAAGTATATGCAATATTTATTTAAGTATTTAAATTTATTTTTGTTCATGTTTTATTTTATTTTTGAAGTCATAAGAATATTATTAAAAAAACTATTAAAAAAAAAAATTATTACTTAACATAAATTGCAAGTGTTTAACCTTTGACAACACACGCAGACACCAATTTAATTGCAAAAATGTAAAAATTAGATGGGGTACCAAACACTAAAGTATATAAAATTCTCCAAATCTTTTGTGTATTAAAATAGCAAAAGGAGGCACAAAAAAATGAAAATTAGCACAAAGGAAGTAGAAATTCTTGTAAGAAGTGAAAAGACAATTCAGTTTTATTATGACAAAGAAACTAAAGATGTTTTAAGGCTGTTAAAAATCCAATGGGGCTGGTCAAAAATAGTTTATTTCGGAGAGATATGACAACAATAGATTATACCCTATAAATCATTAAACATTCCGATGTACAAATGTGGCGAAATATTCCTGCAGAAATTGAATCAAGGCATATTCATGTTTTGCATACCTACTGGTGTATATATTAAACACGACAACATTTACTTAATGTAAATTCTTCAGTAACCACTAAATGTATGAAACAAGACAAGGGTGCCCCCATGTGGAGAGGGGGGTAAAGTCGAAGGTCAGTCTGATTATTTTTTTAAATTAAAATTAACTAAAATCGTGAGAGGGCATGCTTCTCCCCTCCACCACTGCAGGCCTCTTGAAACAAGATAAGAATATTATTGAGTGGTATACTAAAATATATATACATATTCTATAACTAAATATAAGAATTGAACTATTATAATGAAGTTATACATTTTTTTTAAATATTCATTTACAATTAAATATGGGGTATATTTTTATCTGAAGTGTGTTATCATGGGTTAAAAAATACCAATCCCCATTTTAGATATTAATTTATATTAAATGATTACTAAATAGTCGCTATTTTATATTTAAATGTATTTTTATCAACTTAAGTATAAAAAGTTAGATTCTTTATTCATCTGATTTTGATATAATTTACAAATTAATTATGAGTGAGTGTACAGATGTCATTTATTTTGAATGGTTTTAGTGGTTGTGTTATTTTTACTAGAAATACCTTAAGACAACTTGTGTTAATGTAAAATCTTATAGAAGAAACATTTATATTTATTCTTAAATGTGATTCAAATATGATAAAACCATTTTAAATTTGAGTGCATTTTTAATTTTTGAACTGATCTTTTGTAGTTTGTTTCAAGTTATAAACTAACTTTGATATTAATTTATAATATATTTTTGAATGAAAAAATTTAATTTTTTTCATGAAATTTTATTTTATTCTTTTTAAGCTCGTATGTATTGACCTTTTTTTTGTAATAGTATTTACTGCTTACATGATTGGTTAAAAACTGAATTTGGAAAATAATAAATTCCATCCATTAATATCTGTGATTACTAGTATTTTCTTTATATAATTTATTATTCTTATTTTGTCTGTAAAATTAATTTTCTTTTTATTTGTATTATTTGTAATTATATTTTGAAATGCATACATACTTTCTTTGAAGTTAAATTTTCTATATTAAACTAATAAACATTTAACTATAAAAGTATAAAGTAACTAAAATAATATGTATACAACTATTATGTTTATTATACATTACAATGTATTTATACTTTATAAGTATTTTATGTAATGTTACTAAATATAATATTTTGATTCTCTAGATCCTGATTATAAAATAAAATATTATTCACTCAATAAATTTAAAAAGAGATTTTTTTTTGTATTTAAATAAAATGTAAATACCTAAATTTCTTATTGACATGAGTAGTAATACATTACAGTTTTTATAAAAAAAAAAAAAGGATTTTAATCGTAGAGGTTACTATTATTTTAGATATTTAAATGTTTTTTTGCTAATGTTTAAAATAAATATACTGGATACAAACTTTTTTTGGCTTTTGACCATTGACCATGAATAAATATTTATGTTAAAATTTAACCATATGCATTACAATACACTTATAAGTAGTTAATAAAATGGTATATTTCTTTAAACATACTTTATATAAAGTTATTAGTTTCATATAACATGATCTGAAATAAAGTATAGTAAGTATCCAAAATGTTATGAATTCAATTTGAAAATTGAAGTGATTTATGTATATTATATATTATTGTATTAAACATGTATACAACTATTCTATTATATTTTATTTATTTTTTATGATAATTTTAAATTATTTTTGTTTTTATTCTTAAGATATTTGTTTATTCACTTTATTATTATAAAGTACTAGTGTAAGTTCTTGTAATTGATAGTTATAATAATAAAGCTATGTGTACCTACCAAATATGAGATAATATTATGTAATGTATGTGTTATATAATATATTTTTTTCCCTTTAGATTGTTTTTTAAGTGTGATCAATTTTTTAAACACTTTTCGTTGTACACATTCATGTATTGAATTTATTTATCAACATCTACAACTATTATATTCTATATCTTAATATTTATACCTACTTATTGTATTATTCTCACATTTAACATACTTATGGGTGATCTTTGTTGCATTTCTAATATTAGTATTGAACGCTATAATATATTATGGTATGTATTATTTATTTGTTAAATTGTTTGTACAATTTATTTTGAGTGTTAGTTTGTTTATTGTGTGTTAACAATAAAAGTTTATAGGACATTGATAAATATTCAGACAAAACATTGTTTATTTATTCTTCGCTTTTCAATGTTGTATAACATTACAGTATTTCTTAAATAATATTATGTTTAGAACATAAATCTTCTAACCTTAAAATCTTAAAAACCAACAGAGTTGATTTGTTATATTATAGGTAACAAGTATAACATGTCATTGAGTACATGGCTACATTGGGGTAGTACTAAATTTGTATTAAGGGTCCTGGTGCCAGTTTTTCAAATTTTCCACAATTCTATAAAGTTTGAAAATTACATTTTATATTTTAGTTGCCCCTTAAATTATAAGACTTTTCCACTAATCTACCACCCGATACTTAGTTATTTGGGGGGGGGGGGGGGTGGCGATAGGATGTATTGTATCGAAAAAAATGACTTTACGGGAATAACTCTCAAGCTTTATAGGATTGTCGGATTTTGATGACTATTTTTTTATCTGAAAGAAGAAGACTTCCTACAGCCTGCATCGATCTCTTATTTTGTATTTTATTTCAAATGATTGTATTTAAAAATTTGTAAAAAAAATGCTTTTTATCTTGTATTTTTTTAGATATATTATAAAGTTTGAGAATAAAATATTGAAAAACAGAGATCGATGCGGGCTATAGAATATTTCCGTCTAGCAATTAAAAAAAATTTGTTTCTACAAATTTGGTTGATTCTACAAGGCGGTATCTTTATTATCGCAGAGTGTATTTTTGACTACAAAATGGCATCGACACTGGGCGACTTAAATAAAATTCAATAACGATTCATTGTATACAAAAATCGTTTCTGAGCGGAGAGGTATGTTGGCCTATATTTCTAAGCTATATTTTATTATTACAAATTCCATGTATTGCAGTGTAATAATTAGTTATTAGGTATAATATTATTTTATATCAAACCATAGAAGTTTTATCCAGACATTGTTTTAGGTTGGCGGGGGGGGGGGTTATGGGTGCTTGAGTACGACAGAAGGTGTCATCTAAGCCACCAATAAAATAAATTTGTATTATAAATTACGTAGGTAATCTAAAATAGAATGGTGTAGGTAACCAATTTTATTTTTTTACCATCCCATCATTATTATTAGCCACTAGATATATAACTATGTAAATTAAGTACTAGCTCCAACTAGATTCACTTTCCCATCGAATAATTGACCTATAATAAATTCCAAATTAATCATATTAGGTACTTATTAAGCGTTATACATCAACAAAAAACTCTGATTCTATTAGTAAAATTTGAATTTTAAACTCATAAAAATTTAATTAGAGTTTCTTATAGAAATTTATTTTTGATAAAGGTAGATAATCTTATAAGGAATCTTGTATTACATTTAAACTCTTAGATTTAAAAAGAAAATTTTTTATGAATTCTATTAACTCAAAAGAATTTTCTAATTTTCGTGATTTTTCCATATTTTGTCAATTTTTAACTTTAAATGATTATAAAAAAAAACTGTGACTAAGGATTTTTAATATTTTTCATCTGCCTTTGAAACTAAAACATACTAGGAGCCTTCTATTAAATTTTCAAGCTTTTTTAACCAACAAATAAAATTTTATTGAAATTTTTAGAAAAAAATTTAAAAAAATGGAAAATGAAAATATCCCTAAGCAGTTCAAATTAAATCAAAATATTTTTGTGTATAGAAAATGCAAATATAAACAACCAGTGAAAATTTCATGTATCTACTGTAATTTTTTTTAAAGTTACACCAAAAACCAAACTCAATTTTGTTTAAAAATTCTCGTTTTTCCTTAATTTTTCATTTGTTTTTCTTAGCGCTTTTAAAAATTACTGGGAATTTGCACCAATGGTATTCACTTTCCAAACAAACAAGATACTGAAGTTGAAAATCGAAGCATCATTTCGACTAATTATCGTTTAAACAACACAAAAATAAAAATTTTTAAAAAAACACATCATTGTAACAAGTCAATACATTCAATGCTCCTTTCAAGATCTAAAAATGTCCCGCAGAGTAGAAAAAAATCCATAGAATATTATTTTAAATTTTACAAAAAAGTAAAAACTAAAAAGATTGTATCAAACACACGTTTTTTATTGATGTTTAAAATATGTGTTTTTCAATATGTTTTTTTATAATGTTTTAAACATAGCAAACTTGATATAAGGTAAAAACATACATTTGGTTTTAACTTTTAAGATAGGTACAGTTTCTTTAATCTAGGTCATGTAAATGCATTAATTTGTTGTATGCTTTACCTCATGATCTGCCCAAGTAACCAATGGCAACCAAAAGAAGTTTCAATATCTACCGTGAATTTCAAAATCTTCGTTTGGATTAAGAATCTCTTAAAAATGCAATTTTGAAAAATCCTTTTTCAGTGGGTCTCTACATCATAAAAGGAAACTATTGATCAAATTGTTATACTCATTAGTTTGACGAAGATGATTGATGAATCATCCAGTACCTATCAATGTAGGTACGTAACTATCTTCATAGAAGATAAATAGTGATAAGTGATAGGTAAGTACATACCTATACATAAATAAATAAATTATTAATACATAATATTACAATAATATCTAAAAATATACCTATTGTACATTAAAATGTATATACTTGCAGTGAAATGAACTACCTATTAGCTTAGGTACTTACGATAAATAAAAGATATTATTTGATACGATCACATTACAAATTAAAAAAAAAACTTAAGTAGGTAGTTATATAAGTAGGAACAATAGTAGGTAAATATAGGTACCTATCAAGGTGGCGGCTACATTAATGTGCATGGTAAATCGATATTATCAGACATTTTTTTTCTATACCTAGGTGCTACAAATGAAGATAATATTATGTTTTCTGATTTTATAATAGCTTTACAAAAATTCTATTTGGAGTTAAGATATCAATTACATACCTACTTTCCTTTGTTACATAGGTAATTATCCACGTTTATCAGTTACCTACTTGGCTACTGTTTGTTAAGTACCTACCTACCTACCTATACAGTAGACATTATATTATTTCTAATCGATATATGATATACCATAGTTTTACCCCTTGCAAAATAGAACATGAAAAAGCAAAGAACTCATTAAATTGTAGGTATTTATCTCAAAATATAAGAATTATTAGTTATAGGTATATTTGAACATGCGAGTATTATATTTTTTTATTATAATTGATTTTACCAAAGAGGTGCATAAGAAGTAAGAACTTAGGTAGGTACCTACCTAAGGTCAATTTTATTTTATATTTTGTAGGTACCTACACTATCACTAGTATCTTGAAAAATATAACTATTATGCATTTATTCCTGTTATAAAATATATGAATATGATACATTGATACCTACTGACTAGGTACCTACCTACATTAAAGTTTAACATTTTAAATCACAACTATTAATTGTATTTAAATTACTAAATAAACTCATATTAATAAGTTTGTATCTATGTAGATGTTACGTAGGTAATGATGTATTGTTATTGATTGAAAATATGATTTAGAATTTACTTAGAATATGTCAATACCTATTTGATTTCTTCAATGGTTAACTCCTAAATGCCTAATATGGAGTGATATTAGAAAAACGCTTGGTAAAAAAACCCAAGCAAAATAATATCATGCGGGTAGGTAAGTTGAACAGAGAATATAATTTTATTAATTATTATTCTATGGTACGTACATAGGTAACCGCCTAAATTAGATACCTAGGTACAAATTATGGTATAAGCGCTGCGTTTTCCGCCACCGGTATGGACGCCCCTTTAACGATTTTATAGTGTAGCGAATTCTATAATTCGTAATTCAAATATTATAAATCAGCCACTTGAAAATGTATTTTACCTGCATAAGTTCGACACTATATCTTGCAATTTTGCGCAGAGGTGAACTAATTGGGACGATACTACGATAGTGGGTTGGTTAAATTGCACTTGGATTAAAAAAAAAAGGTAATGGTGTAACTGCACTCAGAAAAAAAATAGGTAATGATCAAACTGTATTCGTAATCAAGAGTTTTTCAATTCAGTTTCTTATAATTATTACAAAATATAATTAAAAATAATAGATAGGTATTTATAAGTAATAATAATACTAGACAAATTTAAAAAACGCTTTAAAAAAAATATTGATAACATAATATTAACATAATTACATACCTATATTATATAAAAACTCATTTTTAAGTTTTAATCAAGCCGATGATAATTAGCTTGTAATTGGAAAGGGAAATTAGTTTTTTCAAAATGTTTAACCACTTTACGTATGGCCTTTTTGTTTGAAACATCTTATTTTAACCCCTTTGAGTTCTGTCATTACCTGTTTTTTAAACCAATTGCAATTCGGCTAAAAAAGCTCAATTTATTCGACCTTACGCTACTAGATAATGTCCAACTGCTTAGGTAGTTTACAGCGACAATGCAGCGGATCCTTCATATTATGCCCTTTTTTTTTAAAAGTACCTATATCTATGGTTATAAAGAACAGTAAATAAGAACATGGTAGGTTTATTTTAAATTCATAAAACTGTATAATTGTAGTTATATTATTAAACCAGGTAGATATACACATGTCACACATATTAGGTATGTTAGGCATAGTCATAAAAACTCGAATCAATAATGGTCTGTTAAGTACCGTCCTTTGTACGGATCAAACAAAATATTTTTTACTACCTATGCTAAACACGTTCAGTTTGTTGTATAATAAATATTTTTTTTAAGCAGTTATTCGTGTAATCGTGTTCAAGTTGAAATTTGAATATGAATTTTAAAATTAGCTAGTTGTGTAAATTATAGGTATTCATAAAACAGTATGAGAAAACTTACAACTCCTATTATTTGTTTTGGTAAGAAAATATACAATTCTTAAAATTTTAAATCACTATAATATGTCTTGTTGATATTTGGTATACCTATAGTGATTAGTAATTAGGTACTAATTAATAATAACTAATTAGTTACAGATATTACAAACTTGTACTATGAATTATACCTATTCTTAATATGTACAATATTTCTTAATGCCTCATTGAAAATAGTCACACTTTAAATTTCTTAGAATTAAATACAATATATTATAATATAAATATATACTTCGTAGGTGATGCATTTTATAGATACCTACCTAAACCTAATAGTGTAATGAAACTTTAAGAATGATTCATTAAAATTACATTTCACTTACATTTTTTTTTTTAATGTACTTCCTGTTGCTATTAGCGAATGCACTTACTACTTAATACTATTTTTACTCATTTTCCACACAGTTGATACCGTTTTAATTTTTAAGCTACACAATTTAAAACCAAATATAAAGTACTTAAATAAATATTAGTAGTCACTAATACTGTTTAAAACTCGAAAATCAATCGTTTTGTACTTTTCTACCTACGTACCTACCTAATATTAAATTACATATATTTGAAAACTATAGTTTAGTACAGGTACTTATTACCTGGTTTTTATTTGGAAACTTAGGTACTTATATTAGGTACCTATAATATGAAATATGTATTCCAGTCTTCATAAATTATTTAATTAATTTATGAATACCACACTTATTACTTACTTGTTGAAACAGTATAAAATTAATTTTGAAATAAATATTACCTACTTAAAAAAAAAAAAAATCAAGGGTGATTATTTATTTATATAAAAATTACGTCCACTTATCATAATTATTGACGATCCGTATAAAACATACAATTATTTCTATTCGAATTGTTCGACTGTGTTCTACGAAGTAACGTTAAATGAGATTGGTACAACATTATGAGAAACTAAATAAGACTATTTTTTAAGGTCTAGGTAGGTAGTTAGGTACTTAGGTACTTATTATTATTATTATTATTATTATTTTTTTTTTTTTTTTTAAGGAAATTGAACAATTTCATTAAATTAGCTATTATTTGTTTGGTTATCAATTTCAAATTAGGAAAGTATCTCATATTAAACAGTGCATATTGGTATGTATACTTGTTTAAATAATAGGTTTACCGACTTTTCAAATTTTTTTTTTACTTATAAAATATCTAATCTAATATACCTAATATTTATTATACTTACAATATTAAATTATGTATTTATGTATGGTATACACATACGTGTACCTACCTAAATGTTAAATGCACCAAGCGGCTAGCCGACTTAGGGAGTAGGTATCTATATTATAATAAATAATAATTGTATAATTTCTATAATACATACCTACTACTTACTAGACATCAGTCATACTCATTTCCCAAAACCCAAGTACTTACCTATATTTGTTATCGTATAATAAAAATAAAATATAACAAATAACTTTGTCATACCTATATATTATTTACCTACGTAATATTATTAAATATAACGTTAAAGTTATATTAATAAAAATAAATAAATTCCGCTCATAATAATTTAATAGCTAGATAGGTTTCGTTTCGATAACATATTAGAATATTGGATAACATAAATATCCAAGTAGATACCTATGAAATGATTAGGAGGTACCTACCTGATACTCTTGGTGTTTGAAAATGTCTGTTCTGTGATCGACTAAAGTGGGGACCAGGCTTAAATGACATATATTCATCTGTTCGACAATGAGTAGGTATAAAAGGAATAGCTATCTTGGCAGTTTCAATTAACAGTTGTTGATAATTTTTACTCGTGACTAGACTGAAAAATAATTACAATTTAGTGATGGCCGTCTTAAATATTGTCATTTGCACAACATTGATTGTGGTTACTTCACTAGGTACCGTGCAAGTAAGTAATAAAAAACATTACTTAATACTCCAAACTCCAGTACTGACACTTTTAATATTATAATTTATTACCATTTGATACAAAAACCGTGTTATTGTATATACCTAGGTAATAATTATAGGTATACCTAATATTATAGGTAGGTGTGTATTTTTTTTTAATCTTAACTTCCCTAAGGCATCTTTCTTTGAACTACAATTAGTAGTATTTATAAAACAAATACAATTCACCATAGGCCTATAGGTTCCTATATAATAATAAACTATACACAATACCTTACTACGTTAGTAAATAGTAATATTAATATTTAAGTGATGTATATTATGTGCATATGTGCATCTGAAAAAGTAATAAGAAATCCCCTTAAAAGCATATTTTTATTATAGTATAAGTGAACTCCTTACCTAATCCAAAATGTTCGATATTGAACTTGACCCAATCATTGGATAAGACTTATCAATATTAATTTACGAGATTTTTATATTTTAAAAATCCATTTCTATGTTGCTGCAGGAATGATATAATTTAATGGGAGCAGGGACGGATTAGGATTTTGGCCTGGTCGAAAAATTAATATTTAGGGGTCCACTACTAAGCCATTACCAGTTCCATATAGTATACACAATAAAAAAAATATATAAATCGAGGCACTATAACCATAATAATAGGTAACAATCGTACTGATATAGTGATATATTTATCATAATATTAGTTAATGATTAAAGTTAAATTAAAACATTAAAATATAAGTCCTATATATACTCTAATTATTATTATAATTTATCGTAGTTAGGTAGGTATTTATTATATTTAACAGTTTAAAATATGCATTATCTAACTTATTTTTATTAAATAAATTTAAATAAAAGTGCCCAAAGTGTAAAATAAATAAATAATTATTATATAACATAAATGTGATACCTAATTGTGGTTTTATCGAACACGATTACCATTATTACCTACAGGACATTCACAAGTTCACAATAGCAACGACAGCTATAGTTATTACCTAGGTATTAGCCAGTAGGTAATAGGTACACCTATACTTATTATTCAGATTTTTTTTAATATTAATATAAAATATTTATCAATAATATCGACTATTGCTATTTTGCTCTGCAATGCTCGCTATGAGAAAGAACACGAGAAGTCTAAGAGAAAAAACAGTCTAAAACTATAGTCGTTGCTACAGAAAAGTGCTCATCGGGAATTTTCTGATTGCCCTATATGACTCAATCTGTCCCTGAATGAGATGATATAATTAAGTAGATGTAGAAGTACAGGTACCAGGTAGCTACTTATAACTTATAACTTAATTTAATTCATAAAACCTATGTGTGTTTAGAGCAATAGCATACCGATTGAAATCGCTGACAATCAATGGGTAGTTGATGCCCAAAATTCTATAAAAGATTCTTTGACAAAATTAGAAACGTATGGAGTAGAAAATGAAAAAATCAAGACGATAACCAACGAAGCATTCGATACATTTACAAAGTTCGTGGAAAATGACCTGTCGAAAATTATTAAAAAGGTATTCTATCTCTATATATAAATTTAAATTAGTAAGGTAATTATTTGTATTTACTTCATTGTTTTATGTTTATATACAATTACAGGTAATTGTTACCTAATTAAGATTTATGCAAATAAAAATAATATGTAAATAGTAGATAGTTGAATATTTGAACCACATCAATTCAGGGTTTACTATATGGAGATGAGAGTCGGGAGATAGCAAAAGATACATTTCATAGCCATAGTTTAAAATTAAAATTAAAATTATAAGTCAATAATATACCCAGGTGGAAAAGTACATCACATTTTAGGTTATTGCTTACCAGCCAATAGCCACGGAAGTACCTATAATGTAAAATGTTAGTATATTTAGGTCAGTGTAAAAATAAATAAGAGTACTGTATTAAGAGGAGGGTAAAAAGTACTTAAAGTCCTATTTTCATACCTACCAAATATACAAAAAAAAAAATAATATCATTAAAATCAGTCGAACCGTTACGGAGGAGTTCGTAAACTATAACACCATAGATTATATAAAACAAAAAAAATATAGGTAAATATAAAATGTATATTATATTTTATTATTATATTTAATATTATATAATAATAATATATACCTACGTATATTTATATTGATTGTCGAATTTTACTTCTCGGAACAATATTCATATTTTGTGATGGTATCATAACAATTGCATTTTTACAAGGTTAGGTTAACCTTTTTTAAAACTATAACACATATTATGTAAGATGTATACATTCATTCATTTACGTGGTATATTTTGTTGAAGTTTTTGAACCACTACCTACTTAATTTTATATGGAGGCAACTAGCGTATATCAACCTTTTTATTTACGATAAGCATTGGGAGCAATTCGTATATTTTGGGAGGCAACTAGAATGAATTGGTGAAGAACTCATTGCCATTATCCGTTGGCTTTTAAAAAAATTAGATCGGGTAAATGTAGCCTACCTTGTCCACCAATAAATTACGACATTCGGTCATTCCATTAGTCATTACTATTCATTAAAATATATTTTAAGATGTTATATGTATGTTGTATTTCTATGAAGGTGGATGATATAAAATCGGAAAGGATATGGGTATTAAAAACTCAATTGAAGAATTGGTCAGACGCTTTGGAAAGACTAAATAAAGTGTCCGACGTGACTGAGAAAACGCCCGATAAAGCAATAGGAAAATTTTACATGACCATCGATTATATAGCAAAAGAAGTTGTTGGATTTGATCAAAATTACAATTACGATTCGAGTGAATCGAATGAAATTGTTGAGGAACTCAAATTGTTACTTAAAAACTCTGTTACAAAGTTGGTTGAATATGCAAATTCCGTTGAGGTATTAATCTGATATAGCAGTATTTGAGGATAAAATTAATTACCTACCTATATATTGTACTTATTATTATTTTCAGGATCAAGTTTCCGGGATTTCTAAAACTGAATGAAGCACATCAATAAAATACTTATCTGTTAATTATTCTAGTTCATAAAAAAATAGTGTTCACACATAACACAATAAAATTTATAAAAAAATTTTAAATTTTTTATAACACAATATTATACTTATCATTATGTTTGTTTTTCCACAAACTTGCACTCTTCTAAAGTATATTTTTATTATAATTATAGGTACAAAAAAATATTTAAATGCCACCTAAAGCGATCACTTACTTTGCTTACATCTTGATGTGGCCCTGTAAAGGTTTACAAATTATATTTCACTACATATTATACAATATTGTCATTTATAATTCGGAATTAATTTATTTACTTTTGGCTTCAAAAAAAAAAAAAAAAATAAAAAATATTTGAGTTAATGATATTATTGTAATACCAGCTATAATTTCCTCGGATCTTTATAATATTATGAATATGATAATTGTATTTGTGTTTCATGAATCAGATAAAATGTAGGTATTAAACTTTCCAAAGTTTCTTTATTAATAAAAAACGTATTACGATTTTGTGCAAGTAGCGTATTGTAACAAAATGATATAGTGCACATATACTCTTGTGCGCTGTGCACATATAATGATGTTATTTAAAATAAGTTTGTAGTTAGGTATTCAATATTTAAAGTGATTTGACACGAGTATCTATGGATAATGATGTACAATATTTTTATTTTTGTCAACTATTTTATGAATCAAGTGATTAAATTATGAAAATATTCATAAGGAATTATTATGTCCTTCAAAAAATTAATGAAATAACGTTCGACTAATAATATTGTATTATTAATGATAATTATATCATTACATTGTGTTTAATATATTAAACGTGGGATTATCTAATTTCAATGTAATTGTTTTATAATTATTTTATATTTTACAGTATATACTAATGTAGTCATGTATATTATTATACTTATAGGAATAATTATTATGTTAAAATAAAATCTATTGGTATCTAATAAAAGAAGTCTACCACATATAAAAAGAATTAGTCTCGACTAAAAGCTTACTAACAATATTTTCAAATCCGGAAATTTCGTTTTTTTTGGTATGTAACATATTTTGTATATTTATCTAAAAAATATTTGCTTATAATAATTGTACCTAATAAATACATCATGAACACATATTAAAAGTAAATATTTAATTTTAAATTTTATAAGTTAACTCTAATGTAAGTAGGTAGATAACATAATACAGTGTAATTTAGATACATTTTGATCCGAAACTATACGATATTAACTTCAATGAATATTGCTCGATGTGAATTACTTTTCTCGCGATAATTTCATCAAAAAAATATCCGATCGATGAAAATGTAGTTTAAATCCATTAAAATATATTTTTTTTCCCGAATGAGTGGTACCGACGTCATAGTCCCAATCGCGCGGGATGCAATAATCTCACTGAGAGAAATGGAAAAGATCTATCCAATTTTCCGGTTGTTAGGGTTTACGATGACACGCTGCAGCGCCACCGTATACCTACGTAATTATATCTAATTCAAACTGGTTCGAATAACTGAAGAGAGGTGGGTGTCTTCTAAGTGTCTTGCACGAATACCGTTATATATGTGCGCGCGGTTCTGTAGGTATAGAGGTACTCATCCAATGTCAGTGCGTAAGGTCGTTGATCTGGACGTGCATTGAAGGTAGATAGTTGTTCGTTGTCCGTAACCTATACCCAGGAACGCGTATAATGTGTAGTATTATTGTATATTGTACGTTAGATTTACCGGTATAGATTATATTAATATGGTGTCTTATTATTATTCGTCATCGTTAAATTAATTATTTCGTTTCCGACGTGACAATAATGCATCTGCGTGAGCCCATTGTGTTCACTTAGATTCGCAGATCACTCTAACGTTCGCGGAGTATCGCTGTTAAAGTGTAATATTATTATGTATATGTATATAATCGTCATCTGAGCCGTCAATCGTCGTTGCATTCGTTTTATGACGTATCGAGTGAGTTATGGCTTGATGTCGAAGAACCAACGTTTCATTACATACAACAAAACGCTAACCGGGAAACATTTTGGTAGGTGATTGAATATAATATCTATTACCTATAGAGATATTTATGACACACCTAATTGTTATAAATATTTTATTATATCCGTATGAAAAATAACGTCATCGTGATTATAATGTTCAAAACATATTTTTGAATCTATATAAATTGATGAATTTTAAAAACAAAGAGGTACGATTATGTCATGTAGGTACCTAATTGAACTCACTGTGTTCCAAAAGAAAAAGAAAATCGTAGTAAATCATAGGTAGGTATGTAATGAACGATATCTACGTGCTATTATTAATCTGATCTACTTAAACGTGAACTAATTTTACTGAAATATAGTTTTAGTAAAAAATACTCACATTTTTACCAGTCTAGTTTTTATATCCTACCCGTCCGACTTTGCACATTTGAAAATTAGGTTAGAGCGACATGTTTATTATAACATACGTCTACGTGCTCGTTGTCACGTCGGGCGCCGTTCCTTTCTTCTTCGTCACATCCGCCGTACATGGTATAAAATATAATACTACCAATTGGCATCGGTTAGTTTCACCACCGATAGTGATAGTGACCTCAAACATCATCAGCGACCCATCTTGTGGCTTGTTTATGTTTTTAGATTAGCTGTTGTGATACTATGCGGTACTTATGAGTGGCGTGGAAGTTATACCCATCGGAGCGATTGCAGGGGCCGCGTCGCAAGTGGCCTGGTTCCTGCCCGTTTTGGTCGCGGCTATTGCTTATTTCCACTACGAAGTAAATGACCCCGAGTCAAGGATTATAGACCAGCCCGGAAATTTGATACTCGACCAATATGATTTCATTATAGTCGGCGCTGGATCAGCAGGTGAAAATTATATTTTATTATAATATATTATATTATATACAAGATCGTGCAGTTCTTCTTCCCTAATAATTTTTATTGGTGACATTAACTTTTTCAAAATGACATATTTTTAATATATAAAAAAACACGTTAATATTACTTAGGTGCGGTGCTGGCGAATAGGTTGACTGAAGTCGAAGATTGGAGTGTATTATTAATAGAAGCCGGCGGAGATGAAACTGAAATATCCGACGTGCCTTTGTTGGCTGCCTACTTGCAACTTACCCAGCTCGATTGGCAATATAAAGCCGAACCCCAGGATACTGCGTGTTTGGGTGAGTAACAAATTAATATAGATGGACATATTTTGTGGAATCAATTTATCCTGAGCGTAATATATCAATAAATTTACAAAAGTTTATTGATGGTATTGATAATGTGGTATTATTTAAACTTTAGGTACACACTTTTGAAGTATAGTGATCTAAAAGTTTTATTAAGTTCTTCTATAGTTTGGAAATCCACACAAATTATACTTTAAGAAGGGCATTTTTAAGTTTCCCAATACATAAGTTACCTAAAACTAAAATGTAAAATTGTACAGAAAATCTAATTTTAAGCTTTATGGAATTAAAAAACTAATATATGTTAGTTTTACATTTTTTCTCATAATTTTGTAATAAAAGCTATAAAAAGTTCTATATAAAGATTAATAATAAATAGTACATAAAATGTATGTTTAGTGCATACTGTGTATGGTTTAAATAAAATGGGTTTATAACCATAATAATATAAAATGATTATGATTTTAATACTACACTTCTGTCGTCTAGCCACATAACAAATGGACAAACTATATGAAATATAAATATATATATATTTCAGCTATGAAAGATGAACGTTGCAATTGGCCTCGGGGCAAAGTCTTAGGTGGGTCCAGCGTGTTGAACTATATGATGTACGTGCGTGGTAATCAAATGGACTATGACAGCTGGTTGAAACAAGGCAATCCGGGTTGGGGATACAACGACGTGCTCTACTACTTTAAAAAATCAGAAGACAACAGAAATCCGTACCTAGCACGGACCCCGTACCATTCGATGGGTGGTTATCTGACGGTGTCCGAGGCGCCATACAAAACGCCGTTGGCCGACGCGTTCGTCAGGGCTGGGCAAGAAATGGGCTACGATATCCGCGATATAAACGGCGAACGGCAGACAGGTTTTATGATACCTCAAGGGACGATCAGAAGAGGAGCCAGGTGCAGTACTGCGAAAGCTTTCTTGAGGCCGGCCAGACTGCGGAAAAACTTGCACGTGTCCATCAACGCTCATGTCACGCGTGTGGCGATCAACCCCGAGACAAAAGTGGCGTTCGGCGTCGAAATGATCAAGGACAACACACGACATTTCATCCGGGCCAACAAAGAGGTGCTTCTGTCGGCGGGTTCCATCAGTTCTGCACAGCTGCTTATGCTCTCGGGCATAGGTCCCAAGAACCATCTGACGGAAATGGGTATACCCGTTCTAGCCGATTTGGATGTCGGGAAAAATCTTCAAGACCACGTCGGACTCGGTGGGCTCGCGTTTCTGATTAACAAAGAGGTGATATTACTACGCACATTAATCAATAATAATTAAATTAAATTTTATTTAATCAGATAAAAACTAATTACGGTTGATGTATAAAGGTAGGTGTAGTGAAGTGCAGTGCCGTAACTAGGAGGAGACATATTTTATCCATAATTACATTACTTGCTTTCTTCTTTTAATAAAAGGTTTAAATATTAAATCAAATTCAGACGTTTTAATTTTACCGTCTTGCTTGTTATCTACCTATGCATTTTTAATATTATGTTGACCTGGAGATATCATTCTTAATGCTAAGATATTATTAAGAATATGTACAATTTTACCAGTGACAATAGCTTCAGCTGAAAGAAACATCTCCAGTCAGAAACGTTTAGATTTAAAAATTAAATTAAATTATTATTATTATTCCCACCTTGACTTATTAAATTACAGTATAATTTTTGGTGATGCTTTATTCGCTATATTTTATTACGTTTTCAATAATACTTGAAAAATTAATTTGTATTAATATTAAACGTGTATTTTATCATACTATAATATAATAATTATAATTATACTTAAATAACATAATTGTATCATGAATAATTATTAGTAATGAAATAATTAGTGCCCTCAAATCAAATATATTTATAGCTACGGTACTTCTGCAGTGAATTAAAATATAACAGCGTGCTCTTCCGTTCGTTGTACAGGTGTCGTTAACGCAAGAGAGAGTGGAAAACGTCCAAACTGTTCTAAACTATGCTACGATGGGTGATGGGCCATTAACGGTCATGGGCGGTGTCGAAGGATTGGCGTTTATCAACACCAAATATGCTAATCAATCAGTCGACACACCGGACATCGAGTTACACTTCGTTTCTGGTTCCACCAATTCTGATGGAGGTGTACAACTGTGGAAAGCTCATGGACTGAAAGAAGAGTTTTACAAAGCCGTGTATGAACCAATTAACAACAAAGACGTGTGGTCTGCTATACCTGTAAGTGAAATAATAGCTTAAAAAATTCGAAAAACAAGTATATAAGATTTTATTGTCATGGAATGTGAGAGGGTAGACTAAATCACAAGAACTAATAGGACGAATATATTATAAATGTGCTAAAACATAACATTTTCCTCATACGTTTGTATTTTAGACATCAATATATAATTGTGAAGTTATTAGTTATTAATACTATGCTTAACAGAATTATTGTTTTACATAGTGGTTACAATCTTCTACATTAAATGTTTCACATAATGTCTTTTGCATTAAATGTTTCACATATTATAGTGGATTACGCATGCATCGACTAGAAATTGAATATAGTGGATTATTCTTTACACTGATTTTTTTTTTGGAATATTTGCAGCAGTAGATACCTACTGTATTCATCGAGGAACTTAAGTTTATTTGTTAAGAAAATCAATTTTGATTATTTTTTTATTAGTCGTTTAAAATTAAATAACTTTACATAGACCTAGTTGAAAACCTATAGCTAACCTACCACCTCTCCCGGAAACTGCGGCACACAGCGACAAAATGATATAACCAACGTTTCGCTTATTTACAGATGTTGTTGAGGCCCAAGAGTCGGGGCGAAATACTGTTGCGGAGCACCGACCCTTCCGTGTATCCCAGGATCTTGCCCAACTACCTGACGGTCCAAGAGGACGTGGACACGCTGGTGGAGGGCGTCAAGTTCGTGGTGGCCATGTCCCGGACCACACCGTTCCGCCGGTACGGCAGTCGGCTGCACGACATACCATTTCCCGGTTGCGCCACCCTGCCACGGTTCACAGATGCCTACTGGGAATGCATGGTCCGGCACTACACGGTGACCATATACCATCCGGTGGGTACCGCCAAGATGGGGCCCGAGTGGGACAAGACCGCTGTGGTGGACCCGCGGCTCCGCGTGTACGGAATCCACGGGCTGCGTGTGGTGGACGCGTCCATCATGCCCACGCTGGTCAGTGCCAACACCAACGCTCCGGTTATAATGATCGCCGAGAAGGCCGCGGACATGATCAAGGAGAAATGGCTGGGCAGGAAACGGTGACACGACTGTGATTGTGACACTCGTGATCATCGAGAACATCTACAATATTATTTATTGTTTTTTTGTTGTTTTTTTTTTAACCTAGATCTTATGATAATTTATTATTACCGTGACGATGTCTGTCTTTTTTATATATTTATTCGAAATCGTTATGCTATTACTTATCAGCATTATAATAATTTAAAGATATTATATTATCATCCCGACCTGAGCAAAATACATTATTTAAGTGTATAAGTACCTATAACGTGACAACGTTATAATAATAGACATATTAATTTATATGAAACAAAAAAATATAATTTAAACATTTTGACATATTTTCGAGACTATTTGTGTTCATGATGTTATTTTTGTAATAATATATTAAATTTATATATAATGTCTGCAAACGCTGATATGTTCGGAATTGTGTATATTATCTTTATTATAATATCCATATGTAGAATTTTAGACTCTATTGGATGTTTTTATTTTACTTCGATAGTTCGATCGAAGAAACCATCTAATAGAGCATAGAGATAATGATACTTGATATTCATCATAAACAATTTAGATGCACATAGCATATTTCATATTATTGAGGTAATTTGAAGGCGATTTGAAATATGGTACATAATATAATAGTATAATATATAAATAGTCATATACCTACTCGAGGATTTGCACTTAGAAGACAATTTTTTTTATTTCAGCATTTTAAAGACATTGACACTGGGATTTGTGGCTCACGAAAATTGAATATTTTTTTGGGTAATTAAATAGTTGCCATTGGTTACAGATTATATCTATTACTTTTATAGTTAGTAGAAAATTGCATACCTTTAATGTTTTACAAATATATTTTTCAAAAAAAATTAAAAATCAAATACCTACGAACACATTTACAATAAATACTTTACGGATTTTCTTTCATAATTTTTATGTAAACACATAAAGAAGATTACTAATTTTAACAATATTGGATTTACGTCGGCTTTTAATTATTTGTTGAATCTGTCTCCACTCTTTAGTTGTTCGTGTTAATATAAAAAATATGCTCATAAATCAGGTGTGAAAAACATTGAAATTGTGTTTTTTTCACGCCTACACCGAAAGTTAAGTTTTCGATGACAGTGTGACCTTTTTCCGTCCAACGAGCTGTAAAATGGGAATTCCCATAGCGCCTGGTGGTAAAATGGGAATTCTCAAAAGTCCTGGGCGCGCAAAATACGCGTATTCCCTGCACAACCAGACACTGAAATCTATACCACGGTCCTAACAGAACATACACTTTTGGTTACATCATATAATCAAAATATAACTTCCTGCTTGCATGACGGAACAATTCTAGTTTAGCGCCCACTCGAATTTTTCGATTTTTTTTTTTCGGAAACCTATGTATTTCGACGAGTTTAAAACGATGGTGTAAAAATTAGTTTGCGGAAATGATTATTTTGGAAGTTACAGCCTTCCAAAGTGTGCGATTTTACGTTTATATGCATGCGCGCAACACTACTATAATGCCCCGCGGAGGACGTCGATATTTTTATAATAATAAAATATATATATTAAATATATATCAATATATATAATTATATATATATTAATTTGTGTTTTCACTCTTTGACTTGTTTACATAAGTATATAGTGCCTCCCTTCACCTATCGGCTCCGGTCGCCAGTTAGAGTAACATAAGTCTATTGAAGCTCCCTACGCCTGCCGGCTCCGGTCGCCTAACTCGAGGTCCTGCGGACCTCTCGCTGGATGGGGGCTCGGCCCCCAAACCCCCCGGGGCTTAAATAGCAAACCTGGGGGGGAGGGGGAGGGGTGGCGACCCCTTCGGAGTCGCGGGGGGAGAGCATACCTGCCTTTCGGGCAGACGAATGACCTAACAAGTAATTTTAACCTTGTTAGTTGAAGTATCACAAGTATAGTGGCTCTGGTCTTCAAACTCAAGGGACCTCGCTCCCGTCGCCTATCGGCTCCGGTCGCCATTTAGAGTAACTTAAGTCTATAGACTATAATATATGTAATAAGGCTGTAACTTCCAAAATAATCATTTCCGCAAACTAATTTTTACACCATCGTTTTAAACTCGTCGAAATACATAGGTTTCCGACAAAAAAATCGAAAAATTCGGGTGGGCTCTAAACTAGAATTATGCCTAATAAAGTTTTGATATTGCTATACCTATTACCTACATATATGGCTAAAATTATGTTTGCTATAAATGCAAGCTAGAAACTACTAACAATATATGAAAAATTAAACGAACAAGTATTTTATTTTTATTCGAAAGCCTTCATTTACCCAAAATAACATTGTCTAAAAATAAGATAATTTTGTTCATTATTCGCGGGTCCGTAGGTCACAACTTATAAGAAAGATAAATATTAATAAATACCTAAGTGTAAATTTAGTAAAGTGTTCACATTATTGGGGACATATTACTTATATGTATTTGTATATTAAAATTTATAATATTAATACAGAATAAAATTATATTATATTATTGTATCGTAAAAACTAATTAGGATTTTAAATGCAACATCATCTCTGTGACGGTTTTAAAGTGTAACCGTTTCCGTAATAAACATTTTGTGTTAAACTGTACACTTTAGTCTTTACATGTTGAAATATATCTATTATAATTATTAAATATTCACAATTGAAGAACGAAAATATTAGACTTTTAAAGAAAATATGAGGTACCTACTGCAGTACTGTTGTTGATAACCGATCCGTAAAGTAAAGTAAAATAGACGTGTGTTGGTTTATATTTTATATAATTATATTATATTATGTGTTTAATGGTTTAATCTTAAGCGATTTTACGTTCTTTAATCCACTACAATATTTGGTAAGTACGTCGGTGGTCGGTTGGCCAGGGAGTTGGAAGTTCAGAAATAAAAACAAAAATCGTATAGGTTTGGTAAAAAGCGACGAAGACGTAATTGGCACTCGCAGGCGGTAGGTAAATATAGTTGAAAGGTACAAAATAACATCGGTAGATGGTACTGCTGTTTTCGTTTGAAAGCGTCAACAATAAAAATATTGTGACACTATGACAGTAATAAATCTGAACCCTAATTATAACTATTACATACTAGATTTTTTTTTTATTTTAAAATATATATTTACAATCTATACGGTATAATAACTAATAAGCATAGGCGTGCGCACGGGAGGGGCAGGGTGGGCAGCTGCCCCTCCTGCGGGCTCAAGTTTTCTTACAAAATAACAAAGTTTTTAAAAAAATATTATAATACAGTTTTATATAATGAATATTATGTAAACATTGAGTGCTCGATGTACAGTGCACGATGATTTTATGTTGTCCAACTTTAAGCGAACCACAAGCGATACCGCGGTGATAACGAGTGCTTATAATCTTATTATAGCATGATGTAGATTGAGATGTGATGAGACATGAAAGTGAGTAGTAATTTGACGGCATTTAATGCGAAAAACGTTCACCGGAAGCGCTAAGAAGGTCGGTTCTTTAAATAATTAGTAATTAATAATTATAATAATTAGTATGCAGTATACGAACAAATATTATAGCTCTTTACTTCCGAAGCAATTTTCGGAATTTTTAGTATTTTAGTAGTTTTATGCTCAACGTGTTGATTAAATCAGAATATACCTATCTTTTTTTTTAATGTGGTGTTTTATATTGAAATTAATTTTCTATTTATACTGTAACCTACAAATCAAATTGTTTATTATATACCTAATACTATTAAATACCTATAAAGTATAATTTATAAAACAGTTTAAATAATAGGTTACATGCCTACAATAATGTATAAATTTCAATATTACCAAAGAATAGAATATTATTGATACATTAATGCATGATATAATAGTGGTACTATTTTTGGAAAAATCATGTAAATGCAATACTAAGGATTTACATTTTTTTTTAAATGTTGATATTTATATGTTCAACGTGTTGGTGCAAATAATAATTTACCTATCTTACTTACTTTTTTTGTAATTGTAAATAAATAGTAAGTAGAATTAGTAAATTCAGATTTCACCAACACATCGGGCATAAAAATATATATGAATGCAGTGGCGGATCCAGGGCTTAATTTTGGGAGGGGCATGGGGGGCTCAAAAGTATATGAAAGTTCCAAAATTGGCTAAACACAGTGTAAAACAAAGGAAAACTACGGTTATTGGGGGGGGGGGCAAATGCCCCCTTTTCCATCCCCCTGGATCCACCACTGTATGAATGTAATAATTTTCTTTGTTCATGTATATTAATATAATATAAAAAAACTTTGGAGTTTCAATTACTATATTAAATTTGTAGTTATTTGTAGTTTTAATGATACATAAAATGAAAATACTTCCATCACTTACATTAATTGAACTAATAACCAAAATAATATTTACTTACCTATATATTATATAATATACCTATAGGTACATTATTACATTCTGCCCCCCCTGCCAGCAAGGTCTGCGCACGCCTATGCTAATAAGTGAGTGACAAGTGTGGTGACATACATAATAACATTTGATATGAAATAACATTAGTTGTAGAGTAGAAGGTTTTTAAAAATTATCATTATTTTAAATACTTAGCGGAGATTATTTTCACTGAGATTTGTTATTTTGTTCATAAGCACGGTTTAAGATATATCTTAAACCGTGTTTTTAAGTCTGTTATCACGGCTTTGAGCAGAAAAATTCCCTTATCATAATATTATCAACTCTAAGGATGGTTTTCCTTTTAAATATTTGAATTCTTCAGTCTTTATTCGACTTGTACATGATAACATTTTTGTTTGCTAGTAGAACAGCTTGGAAACGTAACACAAGGTTTTTCATTAGCTGTTCTTACGCAAATAAAAAATACATATGTTTTTATAAGCGTTTAAAGATTTAATTTTGAAAAAATTGGATATTTAAAAGAAAATTATCTATTTTCCTTTAACAAATTTATTTGTTTTAATTCAAAAAACACTAATCGTATGGAATAAGTATATTATGATGTAATTGATATA